CCTTTCACCCATGCCTGGCTAACAATACAGAAGTTACAATGACACGGTTCAGGTGCACTCATGCTACTGTAAAACTGAACTTTGGCCTGTACAAAGTAACTTGTCTTGGCTGTGTTTGTAAAATACAGTCACATTTCAATTATTATATATTATATATGTATATAGTTCTTAAACATATTTTTCCTAAAACATAGTAAATAAAGAAGTAAAGCAAACAATTATTTCTTCTAGTTATGACCTTTGAACTCAGTCGCTGTTTGACATAGGTTGCTAAGCCTTTAAAAATTTTGCATGTGGAAAATACGAAACAAAATTATTTTTCAGGTTTTATATATATATATATACACACTTGAATAACTAAAAAATCATAAATTACTACATTAATACCATAGAATTCAACTATAATTTATCACACTTAGTAACTAAGATGCATTTTACTTTAAAAAAAAATTAAATTTCGAGCAGACTAAAGACACAACCTACCTCATTGACAGCTTGGTTCAAAAGAATGAAATGGAAATAGCCACGTTAGAAAGGCTGAGAAAACCTCTAGGGGGACATTCTGAGCTTCCGATTGGTTATTCATGTCATATATAGAAGTAAGTGTATATAAGGGAGTGTTTCCTAAAATGGAAAGAGGTAGGTGGGGTGCCACTGTGTTTGATTTATTATATGAGCAATATCTTAGCAAATAGAAAAGAGGCTCATATTTTATATTCTAGCTTGTCAATATTGTTAATTTGAGTTTCTAAGTCATTCAAAACTATAGACTTAGTATTTTGACTTTAAAAACATCTAATCTGAACCAGTGCTGCATTCAACATACCACATGACACACAAAAATTGATGTTTATCTGTTTTTTTTTAATATTTACTTTTAAATTAAGAAATTGAATAATGTATAGTTTTAAAATGTGAATTATAATCTACAGTTTGATACCAAACTTATTGACATAAATTCATGAAACAGTAGTTCAATAAAATTTTGAATGCGAGTCAACAAATGAGATGACATGGCCTTTCACCTATGACCCATCTTGAAAGGGTTAAGGGAAAAGAAGAGAATGAGTAAAGCTTAACATGTGTAAATCCTCTTTAAGGGAATAGGGGAGCATGTGAACAATGTACCATGTGTACAATCCTCATTAACTCTCTCAATAAGGGGTTGGTCGATTTGACCGACCATGTGACCTCTTGTGTCTTTATAGATTTAATACTACTAATTTTTAATACAGTAGGTATATCTTCACAAAATGTGGCAGTCTTTCAGTAAATATTACAAATCTTTCACATACAAAAAATCATATCTTTCAGTGAAGTATTTCTAATAAATTTAAAAAAAGATTTGTCCGTCAATATATCGAGTATTTGTTTTTAATAGTCTGTGTGCAAAGTGATTTTCATGTTAAAATTAAAAATACTTCTCTTAATCTCAAAAATCTGAAATTTCATTTGTGTAATCTCTAAAACCTCCTAAGTACATTTCAAATGTTTGTTTTCAGTAAAACTTTGTATTGTATCTGTTATTTTCTCCACCAACACTATACAAGGTTGGTCAATTTGACTGACCTCATAACCACTAAAAAAAAAATCACAATAAATCTAAATTACCTATTTCTTCTTTCTAAAATGACTTCAAATTGTAACATGAAACTACATTTATTTATCCTAAGTAGCTTTAAACTTGTAACTGTATACATCTATTTATACTTAAATTTTATTATTTTATTGCCCTTTGATTACCCTTTCAACCATGTCTAACTACTATTCATGCCATTATAAGTTGTAAATCACTTGGGGAATGTGGAGCTCATATTACTAAGGGTTAAGGGAATAGGAAAGCATGAGAAAAGCTTACCATGTGTATATCCTCATTACGGGAATAGGAAAGCATGAGAAAAGCTTACCATGTGTATATCCTCATTACGGGAATAGGAAAGCATGTGAACAATTTATCATATGTATAATCCTCATCAAGGGAACAGGAAAACATGAGAAAAGCTTACCATGTGTAAATCTTCATTAAGGGAATAGGAGAGCATGTGAACAATTTATCATGTGTACAATCCTCATTAAAGGAATAGGAGAGTATGTGAACAATCCTCATTAAGGGAATAGGAGAGTATGTGAACAATTTATCATGTGTAAATCCTGATTAAGGGAATAGGAAAGCATGTGAACAATTTATTATGTGTACAATCCTCATCAAGGGAACAGGACAGCATGAGGAAAGCTTACATATGTAAATCCTCATTAAGGGAATAGGAAAGCATGAGAAAAGCTTACCATGTGTAAATCCTCATTAAGAGAATAGGACAACATGTGAACAATTTATCATGAGTATAATCCTCATCAAGGAAACAGGAAAGCATGAGGAAAGCTTACCATGTGTAAATCCTCATTAAGGGAATAGGAGAGCATGTGAAAAAGACTGTCAACAACAAGAACACTTTCCTCCCCCAGATGTCTGACAGAGCACCTACCAATGGTGCACTTAAAAAAGATAGAAATCCCTGAAAAACAAAAATAAGTATTGGATACATTCCTTCTGAAAATATTAAATTAGACTCATTTCTTATTTTTGATTATATACTTGAGCCAAATATCATTAATTGTTCAAGAAAGAATATTCATTAAAATTTCAAATACAATAATAGTTAAGTGTTAAAAACAATTTATACATTATACAATAAACTCCAAATATTATCAAGTGTACAAATATGTAAAATTTGAAATTTTAATGGAGTGTCAAAACATTTACATTTGTTTGACTAATTGCAAATTATGTGGAAAAAATATTCTACAAACTGTATATTGATAACTTAAGTGTGAAGAAACCCTTATCAAAGTAATCTAATAAAATGTTGAATGTAAGCCACTAAAACCTCATAACATGCAAAGTAAATGGGGTTAAAGGAATAGAAGAGCATGTGAACAATGTATAATGTGTACAATCCTCATTAAGGGAATATGAAAAATGGGTATACCAATTAAACCGCAATGGTAAACAAAAGGTTTCATTTTTATAGACAATGTCTGAAATAATAGATTTTAGGATTTCAGCAGTGGTGGCACAGAGTGAGTTCTGACCAGGATTCCAGTAGTGGTGAGCTGGTAATGTAGCACAGAGTGAGTTGACCAGGATTCCAGCAGTGGTGAGCTGGTAATGTAGCTCAGAGTGAGTTGACCAGGATTCCAGCAATGGTGGGCTGATAATGTAACACAGAGTGAGTTGACCAGGATTCCAGCAGTGGTGGGCTGGTTATGTAACACAGAGTGAGGTAAAAATCTGTTTTTACTGTTAAATTGTTACAGTTTCTTATAGGAACTTACTTGGAAACTTCAGGAGAGAATAATTTCTTCACATTTTGCTCACTATTTATTCAATAACTTCATATAATGAAAGAATTCAAAATCTTACTTCATTTCCAGGTAGCACATTCTACAATGTAGAAACATCTGAATAGGTATGAAAAGAAAATTCATTACCCGGGTATGAGTATTGAGGGTGAATTCCATCCACCCAACGTTTTTGGAAAAGTGGACACCATCTACCTATTAATTTTGGAGAAATTCCATTTTTTTATACTACTCTTTTGTGCACTGTTATTTGCTTTGAATATTAGTTTGTGAAAGGTTTGAATTTTTTTATCCCTCCAGTAGGTATATCCCTGTAGAGTCTGCTTACTATCTTGTGTAGGAGTCTGAATCTGTACAAGCATAACTCCACCCCAAACTGGTATGACAGATGTTCACACTTCTTAACTGATTTGTTTCTTTGTTTGATGAAATCTAATTTATTTTGGGATTTGCCAAGACTTTCTTCATTTTTGGTTTTCAAAGTTTCTTTGCTTAATCTTGAAATCTTATTTTGAAAAGGGAAATCCAACTATATTTTTCTACAGCGTTTGTTCTTGCTGTAAAAATAATAGCAGCTAGTCTCTAAGCACATCTAACAAATTCATCTTTGCTGGATGCATTAGACAAGTTTAATATTTTTTTGTTCTCAGAGATATCATCAGTTTACTTTTACAACGGGCAGCGTGGCTCAGTGGCTTTGCACTTTGGACTTGTCGTCAGTTGGTAATGAATTTGAGGCTGACCCACATCATGCCGTTGTATCTTGAGCAGAACACTATGTTCCACTTGTTCCAGTCTACCCAGCTGTTAGCTAGGGATTAACCTGTGATGGAACTGGCATCCCATCCAGGGAGAATGGGTAACTATTCTTATATACTTGTGGCTAACTGAAACCAAAGTTTGAAAGCACCAGCCAAAAAGTGCCTTGCAAAGGCACTGCAAGGATTTAACTTAATGTTAGAAAAGTTTAAGCTCCATTAGAGATGTGATCAAGTTAAAATATGTGGCTTAACCTTAGGACTAAAGAGAGCTGGAAGAATGCTTGTTAAGTAGTAAAATACTTTGTTAAAACTAACAAACATATGTATATATATATATATTAAAAAATAATAAATACTGCTTTTAACGGAGCATTTTATTTCTGTTCTGGGTAAATATTTTTGTTGCAACTTTTACATCACTAGGTCCTCTTATCCCAGAAAGCAACTTAAGAAATAATTAACACTAATTTTTTTTATCCTAAAAACATTTCACCCTCTTTTTCAATATTTCATCTATCATTCCCTTGTTTTGGTAAGAACATGTACTACCCATGTTGTATATTTATTCAGTCAGTTTGTAATGCATTTTGTGGTTTTCTTTGCTTATAAGTTGGATGTAAGAAATGATGATGTTGTACCATTTCCTTGGTATTAGAGACAAGTATTACATCTTGATGATGTTCATGTACATCTGAACAGATAAGTCACTAAGTGATAGTTTAACGAGAGCAATGGATTGATGTAAGAACTGATGATATTGTACCATTTCCTTGATATCAGAAACTAGTATTACATCTAGATGTTGTTACAGCAATACATTAATAAAAATTGATATCAACAGAGGTTTTAAAATTTAGTCATTACTACTGGCATTCTTCTTTTTATTGAAGATAATGTATGTATATGTTGATCTGCTTTTAACACTGGAGAAAATGTGGCCAAATAGACAAGAGAGAGTTCTTCTAGTTCACATGTGATGACTTGCTTCTTGAAATGTTTGCACCAGCTGTTTGGAACTTAACTATATATGTTATTCACATACAAAAAAAAAAGATAAAATTTTTATTTAAAAAAAAACAAGATTGGTGAGGTAGTAATAAGTTGGTTGTAAAAACTGCCCATATCTAAAAAACAGGGGACTAAGATTCTTATTGTACCAAATTATATGATAACAGAAAATGGTTCCACTCACCTTTATTCCCATTATTAATCCATTCATTAAGAAAGTATGATCAGGAAATGTATCATTTAAAACCTGGAAAACAAACGTTTTTGTTTTAAAGAACTAGACACATTGTACAGATTAGTAAAATGTTTCATTTAACTCATCTTTCCAATGTTATATACAGTACAAGGTGTTTCTTAATGTCAGCATTGACAGGGACTAATGTTTAGGTTTGTACTTTTACAGAAACATTTTAACAATTTTTAATATAAAAAACGAATGAATCACTAAACACACACCATGGTCAAAAGAAAAAAAGACAGTGCCCCCAGTAACACAAACCACGATATCACAGGAGACAAACATGTTCTTATAATGCTAAGATACAGCTACTTAATGTGCTATAAAATGGTTTACCAAACACATACTCCTTACTTTTATTGCCATGCTATCAGATATAATTAACAACATCTGGTTTTATCAACAGGTTCTTCTACAATTTCTTCATGATGCTTGTTTTGAATTTCGCGCAAAGCTACACGAGGGCTATCTGTGCTACCCGTCCCTAATTTAGCAGTGCAAGACTAGAGGGAAGGCAGCTAGTCATCACCACCCATCGCCAACTCTTGGGCTACTCTTTTACGAATGAATAGCGGGATTGACAGTCACATTATAATGCCCCCATGGCTGAAACAGCCAGCATGTTTGGTGGGACGGGGATTCGAACCCGCGACTCGCAGATTGCGAGTCGAGCTCCCCAATCACCTGGCCATGCTGGGCCACTTTTCATGATGCTCAATAATCAAAAAACTTTAAAGAAAAATCCAAATTTGTTGGTTTGCTTCAAGATATACTACAGTAAAAGTTTGCTGCACATATCCCTCTAACATGACTTTTTCTTTCTGCTTACCATAATAATTTAAGCTTCCACTCAGATCACAGACGTTGATCTTAACAGATCTTAAGATTTAGCTCATGAGTTTGACCTTTATAGATCTAAATCTTAGAGTTCATGACCTTGACTTATCTAAGACTTCAATAACAGATTTGAGAAGTGTTTGGAACAAATTTTAGCTCAACAGACACAGAAACGAGATACAGACCAACAGAAACACTTCTTTTTGATGCTGTTTATAATTAATATAAATTTCCAGTTTTAATTAGTTGTTCATTATCATTAAACTAATTTTTTTACTAAAATCTGTCTTTGTTATAATAACACAAATTGCTAATGACAATGCTGTAGATGAGACACTAAGCTACACCATTCTTATAAATGATTATTGATTAACCTCTATTCTCCCATATAACTAAACAAAAGGCAAGCAGGATTAAATTACTACTACAACTTGAGAGAGGGAAACCTAGTGTACACAACTGTTTTATGGTCTTTATGTATAGCTCTGTTTGGTAACACTGTTAATAACTGGAGTTGACAGTAGTGCCAACAAGGAGACATTCAAAACATCAACAACAAAATAATACTTACTGTAATCATTGGAGTTGTCAATAATCCCCAGGCAAAAAATTCTAAAAAAATCACAGCAGCAGCATGATAAACACTCGGCTCACCCATTCCCGATGTCTGAAAATAAAGCATACAACTCTGTATTAAGCATAAGAAATATTTATTTATCTGTCCTACAAAACAACTGACCAAATCAATATTGAAATCTGAATTACTCATTGCTATGCATGTAAATTCACTTGTAAATTAAAACCACTTAATAATGAATAAAATACAAATACACAAACATTAAATAATGAAGAATCAAATACAGCAACAAGTTAAACAATGGTTAAAGCTAAGCACTGTTTCACAATGACCAAGCACTGATCTTAGTTTATAATGAACCTGTTTCACAATGACTAAACACTGAGCTTAATTTACAATGAACATGTTTCACAATGACTAAATATTGAGCTTAGTTTACAATGAACATGTTTCACAATGACTAAATACTGAGCTTAGTTTACAATGAACATGTTTCACAACAACTAAACACTGAGCTTAGTTTACAATGACCAAACAATGAGCATAGCTTGCAACATAACTATTTCACAATGACCACACAATCAGCATAACTTACAATGAAGCCATCTTTCATAATGTTTTTCCTGCTCCTAATAATAAGCCCAGCAACCTTCTTTGACATTTTACTTGGCATCTTATTTCACCATAGTTGTTCAGTGTTACACATATACAACTACGTCCAACATATCCATCTAAATCTTTATCAGCTTCAGCTAGTCTCCTGAAAAAGAGTCACAGACAGTTAGATAAATACCTGCACTGTTTAAAAACCATTTATGAATTCCAAATGAACACTTTAAACTACAAAGAAATAATAACAAAAGCATGTCAGGATGCTAGAACTTATGAATGACATAGGATTATAATCAATCTTTTGATTTAGGTACCACTTTCTTGATATCTCAGTTTCATATTTAAATCTACCATCACTCACTTCTTACTAAATTATATTTGTGGTAAACAAATCTTAAAGAAACCTCAAAATCCTAGTGCCAGAAAAGTTCATTATCTTAATGCAATTCGAAAAGATAGGAGGTCATGACATGAATCAGCTAATTATAATAAATGGTCTTGAAACTTGCAGATATATTGAAGTAGCTAATAATTTGAATTTCTGTTCACTGACTTAACTAATAAAAAATTAGTCAAAATATATAAGGAATATTTGAACCTGGTATTTCTCTTTTCAATGAGTATCTGGATAAGTTCAAATGAAATTTACACCTAAAATTGTTTAACTACGTGAAGATTTAACTTCTTCAAGTCATTACCCCTTAAAACTGGGGGTTAAAGTATTATACTTTTCAAAAGTGAATAACTGCATTTTTGGGAGGAGGTTACTTGTCTAGGTAATTAAATTGCAAATGATATCTGCATGTTTATTATATCCAGTAGAATTTGAAAATCAATTAAAGTTAATCAATGAAATCAATTAATTGATTATTTTGATAAGATTTGGATATGGTTGAAATAATCAAAAATAATGATAACTGGAAACACAAATTTTGATTAATTGATTTTCGTGACACTACAGCATTTGTACAATATTTTTCAAGTGAAATCAAGGACTTTTGAGCACTTTTTTTTACAACTTCACACATTATAATTGTCAAGACCAAAAAATATGATCCACGGGTGTCATAAACCAAGAGGATTAAAATTTGTGATAAAAATCATGAAACTACAGATTGTTTTTTTTCATGTTCTTCATAGTTTATCCATACCAACAGGTAAACAGTTACACCTGAATATACCTATTTTGATACAATGTGTAAAACAATCTGTGTCATCACATACAGTGTCTACAGCCTAAAACCTGAATCAAGCACATGTTGTATACTGGATTTATCTAAAGTCCTATATACTAAACAAACACACCATGGTATGTGGTATTCTAGAGCCCTAAACATCAAACACAGTAGTATGTGGTATACTGGATATCTCTAAAGCTTTAAACACTAAACACAGTAGTATGTGGGATACTGGATATCTCTAAAGCTTTAAACACTAAACACAGTAGTATGTGGGATACTGGCTATTTCTAAAGCTAATAAAAGAAAATCACTGTAAAAGCATAACATTGTTATAGAAACAGATATATTTTATCTAGCAACATTTGATAAACTCCTCTTTGTCAGGCTTAACATGATAGAATATTAACTCTAAAATTACAGCAAAATTCTGTTTAAGATTTTTGAATGGATGAAACTGTTTATTTTTACAGTGATTTTATCTTATTGCTTTTATCTCCCAACATTGTGTGGATTCCAATTCTTCTGAAACCTTCATCATTTCCACTATGACAACAAACTTTAAAGTTTTTCTGACATCCCATAGACCCTTGAAAAAGTCATATGCCAAAACATTGGGTAGAATAAAAAACAAACGACTGAGGATGTTTTATTTTACTACTCCAGATAATGTTTCATGAACCTTAATAAAACCTCATATTTGAGCATAGTACTCAAGCTTATAAGTCTTTTTTTTTTTAACCCTTTGAGTGCATAATTAATTTTTGAGTGGGTTCTCGAAAAGTGTCAATTGTCTACCAAAAATGAAATTTAGAATTTGACCTTTTTCAGTACTTTTTCAATATCAAAATCCACTAATTGCACTTTGGCTAGGTGATATACATACTTGCTGTATTAAGGCAGGCAATTCACGGAAGTGAGTATCCCGATTGTTGCACAATGTGGAAATTTTTTTGTGACACCGTGGGGTAAATCTGCTTGTTGCACCAAATGGTTATAAATGTCAAGTCAGTTAAATCTGATGATAGCATCCAAAGGGTTAAACAAAGGAAATTAAATAACCATAACTCATTTAATTTATTAGATAAATGCATACTATTTTAAAGTAAAAACCTAGTCTTATAGATATTCTACAAGTAGTTTAAATTTAAAATCAAACATCAAAAAATTAGAATTAAGTCCAGTTTTAAAAGAAAAGTTTAGAAAATAAAACTTTTGATACTAATAATTTTATTTTACAAAGTTCGAAAATCTTTAGGGAATAAACAAGAAGAAAACAAACTCTTTTGTATGTTTATGACAAAGTTACTAAGGCTATCTGCCACCATCCATAATTCTAAGCTGCCAACCAACTAATAGTGGGATTGACCATCATGTTATAATGCCCCAATGGCTAAAAGGGCAAGCATATTTAATGATGGGTTTCAAGGCTATGACTTTTGAATACACTCATCCAGTGTTGTTTATAAGATGATATTTGGAACATTTTTCACATTGTATTAAGTTAAAAACATTTGTAATTTGAATCAATAGGTGTTTTTACATTTCAGAAATGTATTGCTGTTACTTATTGCATTTTATTAAACTTTACTACATATATAAATAATGCAGGTTACTACTGGTACGTATCTGTCAATCACTGTATTTCAAGTTTACAACCAATATGATTACAAAATCTCTCCTATACTTTCAACTACATAATTGAACTTGCAATGTAAATCTACTAATTTGTGACTGTGGAATCCAATGGTGTGTGAACTTGTTTGTTATTTTCATTACTTAAAAATCACCAAAATCCCCTATTGATAAAACTCAACAATTCTGAATTAAATGAAAATAATAATAATAAATCATAACAACATTATTTTTATTACTTAGATACCTCAAATAATTGGAAAAACTTATTTCAATTAATTGATTATTTTTGTGACATTAATCAATTATAGTGATTAACTAATTTAATCTCCCAGCACTAATACCAAGTCATGATTTTTTGGGCAGTATGGGCCAGGCTTTCTTAAGTGTCCAATTTGATGTCGCCATTGTTCTGGGGCAAATTTCTCTGAGTACATACCTTACACAAACATATAATAATTTCTAAATGATAGATGACAGATCGAACTTTCCAAACATATATAATACGTTGAGGTTAAGTTTTTCCAGCAAACCAAGGAAATAAACAATGGTGGGGTGTTAAAAGTAGCATATTGCCAGCAGAAAAATGTAATTTCAAAGTAATAACACAAACACAAAAATTGTAAGTATGACTCAAGCTTTTATTGTGATTAATTAGTAAACATTTATGTTTTGAAAATTTGTTATTAGCTAATTGTCCCATTACTTTTTCACATATAAAAATTTCCAAAATAACATCTCATCATAATCATGTGTTCTCCTTTACGGTTGTTTATTTTCAAGACAGTAATTACAAATGTTTGAGTAAATAAAAAGATCAGAGTCTAAAATCAATCCAGGAAGTATATAATTTGATTTGATCATACCCCAAATACAGGGTATCAAGAAATATTTTGGGTATGTCCATTTGGAGCTTGTAATAATTTTTTTTTTTTAAGCACCTGATCACCTTTAATCACATATCTACTGTAGATACTCAGATTATACCAATTTGTTATATCATTATACACAACAGCCAAGACATTTGTTGTTATCAATAACTGAAAAGGTAAGAGTAAATTGCATTCTTCAATAAAAATCACTGAACATGAAATTGCTTGAACTCCTTTACATGTTCTCCTTTACTTCAGATTTCTTCAGAGGGGAATATATAGAGTGCATAATGCTTTTCCCACCATGTGCAGATGATAAGGGTGGGGTAGATTTGAAATGTATCAGTCACAAATCAACTGGTTTTCCTGCAAGAAAGATCCTTGAAAGTGGGATTACATAACAGGTGTATATCTCTTTAACTATATAACTAACATTCAGATGGTGTGAGTGGTGGTAGTTTTAGGTTTAAATAACTGATAAATTACAAAGCTAAATCTGTGAACAATAATTAGGGGTCTATTTTTAAAAACAGATAATTGGGGAAATGGTGAAATGCATGTAAAGTAATTCACAGAATGGGTAAAGGAGATCACCATTTAAATTCAACTCCTTATTTACACTTTGTACTTCTTAGTATAATTCCACATTATAATAAAAGCTTACATTTATGATCTGTAATTTCTACACCTGTCTTTGCTAATATACAGAGGTGGTATACATTTCAGTGATGGGTTTCACATTTGTATTTTTAGAATGGATGGTAAACAAAGTTGACAACTGAAATATTATCACAGAAAAAAGGCAGCAGAAGGAAAAACCTTCTTACAATTGTTAGCTTTTTGCCTTTTTATTCTACGTACAATATAATCTGGTAAAGGAGAACACAGTGAAAAACAGTAGTCATCTTCATCTAGGTGGAAAAATATGACAGAATGTTGCCCGAGTGCAAAATTTTTCAGTAGTTATATTTTCAAGAACTGTATAAATCATACTTATAAGAAAAGATATTTTTTTTCAACATTTTCCAGTTGAAGAATGGACACTTAAGAAAGCCTGGCCTGTATAATTTTATGCATATGTCCTACTGTATATGTAACTGAGAGACACAATCGTACATTTCAAAAAAGCACTCTAAAAAGATAATGAAATTCTCTCTGTCTAAAAAGAGTCCTGAAATTCTCATGACTTCCATGAGCATGAACCCAAAAACATATCATGAGGGAAGGTTTTAATATTGACCTCCACTGTGTTGACCATGTAACAACAGAATATTTCTGTAATTTATGGTTCAGCAATACAATCTTTAATAAATGGACCTACAGGTATTACTCAAACTGGTACAACATTAATTTATAACATTTCTAGATCAAATCAAATATTGTAGAAATGGGTGACACACTAATAAATTATATTAATTATCAAATAACTCACTACAAGTAATAAAATTAATCTTCAAAACTTGTCTGTTTTAAGAAAGAATTTTAATATATGAAGTTAGACTGCTACAACTAGAAACTGACTTGAGTTCAATAGAGGGAAAAATGATGTTGATCCAAACTCTGACTTGAGTTTAGCAGACTGAGAAATAATAATGATGATTAGTATTTACCTTTTTGTGTATTACTTAATCAAGCATAGCCAAGTTGAGTGATACTGATAAAATTATTTGTATAAAGTACAAGTGAATGGGAACGTCAATATGGATGTTTATCAGTTTGATCTTTCTTCAAACTAATCTCATATGCCTTTCATAGCTATAAACAACAGATTTTAATTTACAATATGGTTAGTAGTGTAGTAACTTTTATCCACTAAGTGTCTTTAACCCTTTGACTATATATATGCAACTCTCGTGAAATTTCTCTACAAAAATTAAAGTAGTGGATCAAATTCATGACTGGAATCCAGTCAAACTGGACCACTATTACTAGCGGAGTGCCTAATACATCAGTGCTTGGGCTTTTGCTCTTTCTTATTTGCATTATCAATACTAATAACAAATAATTAATACAAATATCTGGTAAATTACCTTTAATTATTAGTTTTAATTTAGTTACTATAGTTTAATATAA